ATTGAGTCAACTGGCGTGGTTTCGAATCCCCGGTTGTACATGACAAGGAGTAGGGTCGCCTGTCCAACCTCGTGGGTTTTCTCCAGGTCCTCCGGTTTCCTCCCACTGCTAAAGACCCCTACGCGCAAGCGAATTATGGAAATAAAATTGAACCATATGTTAGTCCCGAAATGACCTTGTTTGTGTCGTGTGGACGTTAAACCCCATTTCTCTCTCTCTCTCTCCCCATCAGTTGACTCAATAACAGACCTTATGATACAGCGCGTACATGCTAACCATTCGGCTATCCAACCCCCGGTAGTGCTGTAGGATTTTGAGGACATGAGCCACCTGGAATGCAGACATAGCACGGGTCCTTAAAGCCCACATAATTCAAACCTTTCTTGGGACTTCAATGGACTTGAAGGAATGCAATGAAATGGGGTTTAACGTCCTACTGTTCTGCTCCTATACTGGGCTAATAAAGACGGGCATATACGCCATACAGTGTGCTATGAGGGGAATTTTGCCCGGGCAGCGACACTATCGCCTACCCTTATATCGAATTTCAACTGCCAAGGGATCTTTTACGTGCATTCCAATGTATACACGGGATCTCGGTTTATTGTCTCGTCCGAAGGACTAGACAACTGTCCTTGTCAAGCCCTACGTTCTGCACCACTGACAAGGGGAAACCACGTCGGAAAATCCCTATGAACTTTCTCGGCCAATGCAGGGATCAAACACCCGACCTCCAGGCTAGCAAACCAGCGTCTAAGCCACCGTGGCTCCCGGATTTGATGGAATCTTAAACAGTTTCACAAGCTTAAGAACTTTTAACCACATTGACCTGAAACCTGTAACCACATTGACTTGAAACATGACTCTAAAATACATTGAAACCTGACAATTGTAATGTTAATAGCAAGTAAATTGTATTGAACAAAATTTTACTGTAAAATCTATCAATCAGATATCCAGCAAATGATCATTGTCATGCAATAAACCTATTTCGTGTTGTTACAATTGAAAAGTTTCCAAATTCTAATCTTTGTGTTAAAAACCTGAAATTAAACTGTCAGATTGTATCGGTATACATAATATATAAAGGTTTACAAAATATCACAAACCTGTTATCACAAAATAATTTAGCAATTATGGCTAAAAGATTTAATTGAAAATGTCATTATCAAATATATTCAAGCACATGTAGTATGTAGACGTAAACCTTGTGGGCATTTGAGAGGCATAGTCCTTACAGTTTCTTGTGGGCATTTGAGAGGCATTGTCTGCAGTTCCTTGTGGGCATTCGAGAGGCATAATCCGTACAATTCCTTACGGACATTTGAAAGGCATAGACCTTACAATTCCTTGTGGACATTGAGAGGCATAATCCTTACAATTCCTTGTTGACATTTAAGAGGCATAGTCCTTACAATAATATGGTTATTGGTTAAAGCGGAACTCTGATAACAAAACTACAGAAATAATTAAATAAAAAAAAAGGTAACATCCTAAACATTCACCATACTTGTTTTCAATTTATAGAACAAACATGGCGACTGATTATAGCGTATAATAATAATAGAGGCAGGCCACGCCCACATCCAGTACATGCCTTGTCAAGCATAGTGTCCACATCCGGCTAGCTGTATTTCAACTACCAATTACCTACTCTACCCACTCGACTGATTGATGTTTTTGTCACGATCAGCTTACTGGAAATATTATTGCTACACAATTATGTGTAGAGGTGCTTCAAAACCATGACAGAGTTTGATCAGGAACATTTTAGACAGAGTTTGATCGTGAACATTTTAGACAGAGTTTGATCGTAACATTTTATGCTTAGACTAAGTATAGATAATCTGTTTGATTGCTCGATACTTTTCAAAAAGATAAATGTGAACTTATTTAATATGTCATCTATTTATTTTGGGATATCGGTCGGGGATATCAGCCTCTCTGTTGGCTTGTTGTCCCGCGTTGAACGAAATTAGGTAGCGATATTGAAAAATGGGATCCATGTGTCCGGATGTCTGTCCGTCCTGATTTCGATTCCTGAGCGTATCTCATAAACCGTTTTAGATTCCTTTAGAAACTTTGTACACACATCAACCTATTACAGTAGCTGTGCCTTTTGCTATTTAGGAATTTCTGGGATTTATATTTTTTGTGTTTCTATGTGAACAAATTTGAATTAGTTTTTGGTGTACAATTTTGTTTCCCATGATTGGCTGGTATGCATTTCCCGCGTCACAATAATAACTACAGAAACTATGTGTGCCTCAGGCAAGTCATTTTGTCTGTATTCTGCATTCAGTGTATTGTATTGAACAAAATATATATCCGGCCCGCGCTCGGCATTCTTTCAGTTATATCTGCCCGGACTATGAAAAAAGTTTGGTGACCCCCATTTTCAAATATGATTAATAAATGATGTTTTGGATATTTTAATGATTACATCTTAACACTTGTTTCACACTAATTTGACAATATAACCCATCAATATTCTACAACATTAATCAATTTTGAAATGCGTATCAGTAATTGGCAGCAATACCGATATCTTTATACTCACCTTGAACACCTATCTGTAGTTTCAAATATCGCCAGTGATCATTATCGTGATATATAAATTGAAGTTTTATGTTCATTTGTTAAATTAGGGAGATACTGCCTTCTACAGTTGAAATGTGTGTTGAAGATAAAGAATCTGATGAAAGAGTAGTAAAAGAAGATAAGATTGTTAGGTTATTTCTATATTTGGGTCAAGCTGAGGGATTCAACTGATACAATATAAACTTGAATAATAGATTCCATTAATCAATAGATTCATCAATAAATTAATCAATAGATTTCATTAATAAATTAATCAATTAATATTCTCTTTGTATTCAAGATAAAAGAATATTTTTTTTATGAATGTTTTAATTTTCAAACGTTTTTTTGTTTTGTTTATATGTCCGATATATAGTTCTGCATAAATTTGTACCCAAGATCAGCTTGAAATTTTATTATTACATTATATTGATCATAAATGGCCGCAGGGTTAGCGTGTGCGTGTTGTATCATAAGGTCTGTCATTGAGTCAACTGGCGTGGTTTCGAATACCCGCTTGTACGTGACAAGGAGTAGGGTCGCTTGTCCAACCTCATGGATTTTTTCTTGGTCCTCCGGTTTTCTCCCACTCCTCAAGACCCCTACGCGCAAGCGAATTATTGAAATAAAATTGAACCATATGTTAGTCACGAAATGATCTAGTTTGTGTTGAGTGGAGTTACCCCCTCTCTCTCTCTCTCTCTCTCTCTCTCTCTCTCTCTCTATTAAAACCTTATTACAAAATCAAACATTTTATGGTAATCTTGTCCATTATATTAATGGCATATCTAAATATATGTCCATCTAGTCCATCTAGTATGATGTTATAATGGTAATAATAATAATTTATTTATATAGCACAGACAATTCAACTCAGGGGAGATGCTCTCAGACGCTTTACATAAATACAACTAATATAAAATTACAACAATCACAACATGTTAATCCATAAAAAAGACATAAACAAAAAACGGAGAACATTATTTAGTACACATGGTAAAAGTCTAACACAAACACAGCTAGAACCGTATTCAATCAGTTGTATATTTGATTAAAAAGTTTGGTTTTGAGATACTTTTTAAAACCTTTAATAGAATTTTCGCTTTTATGTTTGATATTGAATTCCATAATTGCACCAAGATTGCTTTCCATTACCAATGACACGCAGATTGTCTATTCTTTTAACTTCCAAAACATGGGCAAGGGCTCTGGATGTTGATGACTGATCGAGTCATTGTAAAGAAGCAATATTGTTATTAAAGTTATAAAAACCAACCACCCCCAGCCCTGTATACGAGGGCTAGCTGAAAAGTTCTAAGTCTATCTGTGAGAGACCTGTACACACCTTGCAAGGCCTGAATGCCGGTAAGGAAGAAGTTTTCTTCAGCCACTCTAAAAAAAAGTCGTTCATATCCATGGTCAAAATTTTTATCCGATTTTAAAAACCATTTAGAAATATCACTGTTACACTCTAATAACGGTTGAATTCGAATTTCGTGAAAATCTGCTCGACAAAATATCTGCTCCTTGTATGCAAATAGGTTGAAAGTATGTAATAACATACCCTCTAGAGGTCTCAATTTTGATCTCATTTTGATGAAACTTAAAACATATGTTTACATTCAAAAGATCTTAGTTCCTTTCGATATTTGCGCATATCAGACCGCATCATCCTGGAATGTGGACCTAGAGGTCTCAATTTTTATACTTAAAATGCATGTTTATACCTCAAAGATCTTGATTGCTTTTCATATTTACAAAAAAGATAGGTTTTTTACCTTGTTCTTAGACCATCTCTTGCAAAATGTGGTTGTATCTTGAATGGCAATTGCTTGCTGCTGTTTTTAAGGACATTGTCATATTAAAAATGTAATGATTACAGAATTTGAAAGAATTTATCCCAAGTTTTCATTTAAACTATTTAAACACATATATATATCCGTAAAGATAACTTTTGCTAAATTTATTAAAAGATACATTATGTAAGATTAGATAAAGAGCTGACAGTTCTCACTTATAATAGTTAAAAACTAGATAAAGTGTATTTATTTAATTAAAATTAAACATAAAATATTCAAGAGCTAAATCTGCCTATTGCAGGTCTTTCTGTAGGCCAGAAATGTTTTCTGAATTATTAATTAGACATTAGATATTAAATAGATTAGAACAGTTCAGCCATATTTTGATGTAAGCTAAAAATGGAGGTTGAATTTATTGCACACGTCTGTCAAACCTTCAAAGGCTAATATCTTCGCTCGCAATAGAGTAATTTGAATGAAATTTTCAAATTATTCATTTTACATTATCTATTTTCGAACTATTATAACAAGAATGGCTAGTTCTTTATCTAAATCTTACATAATGTATCTTTAATGTGGTATTTATTTAATTAAAATTAATGTGTATTTCTTTAATTTCAGGAGAATATCACCAGAAGAATGATAACATGGACTACTTTCTACAGATGGAAATCTGGAAAGGAAATATACGTGGTGCTCTACAAATCGCTCGAGAAAAAGATGAACTTTCTGATTGGCTTGTAGCCATGGCACCATTAGGTTATTATATATATTTTCTTGCTTTATAATTTTATCTTTTTAAATCCCTTTTTTTTTTAAATGCAAATTTCTGTTAACAAATTTGATAAAACTTAGAATTAGTGCTGTTATCATTCATCTATGCATCGAACAGAAAAAAAGCCCCTTAATATTCCATGCGAAATCTGTCCTTCGAAATCCATGAAGTATATTTCATTGGTATCAGTTAACGTCGGTAGGACACTGGCTCACTGGCCTTGAGATTGGGTGTTCGATCCCTACATTAGCCGAGAAAGTTCATCTGGATTTTCCGACTTGGTTTCGCCTTGTCAGTGGTGCAGGACGGAGGGCCTGACGACGACAGCTGTCTAGTCATTTGGATGGGATGAAAAACGGGTCCCATGTATACATTGGCATGTACGTAAAAGATCCCTTGGCAGTTGGAATTTGATATAAGATTAGGCCATAGTGTCGCTGCCCGGGCAAAATTTCCCTCCTAGCACACTGTATGATGTATGCTGGTCTTCATTATCCCAGTTGGAGTAGGACGTTAAACCCCATTTCATTTATAGAATATTGATAATAGGTACCTCAAAGTATTGACATAAACTTAGCAACTATCTTGAGTTAATTATTTAGAACTCCTCGTAAAATACCTAATTTGGGAAATCTCATTATTATATACTATCAACAAATGTTGTCTCCGATTACACCCAGCTGTCTGGTTGACCAGTTTTCTCCATTAATGTATTTATCAGATGATTGGTTGGATAGTATGTGTAGGATGGCAGAATAATGCAACTCGCGTAGAACGAGTTAAATGAGTTAATCTTGACCTAACCAGAACCTCCATGGCCAGTACTATTAGTAAAAATTCACTGAAAATGACATTAATTATTATTATGAGATACAATTTGCCACGTTTTTCATCGGTTGGGTTCGTCACCCCAGGCCTACTGTAATCTGATTGGTAGATTATTTAAAATGTAACTTAACTTCTAGTGGATGGATTTTGATAAAACTTAGAATTTACCATTATTGTCACATCCACTTGCCTTACTTTGAACATAAACGTTATCTGTTCATACTTAGAGCACATAAAATAAAAATATTAAATTTGTCTGTACTTCATGTCAGTGTTTGTCGTATACAATTACAGACATTAAATTCAAATCCATTTATAATTAATTCAGACATCTTCACACAAAGTCTCAAATATAGACATCACCTAAAAACAACTTTTCTAATTATCGAAGACATTCTTAATCCCCCCAAACACGAGTGACCGAATGCATATTACAAATGTTTAATCCTTAATTACCACAGCCGGGATGCAGGGCTCACACTGGCTTTCAATTTCCGCCAAAATTGATGATAGTTTATAATAATATATAAAAAAAATTTATTATTTTTTTCCGCCAACTGGAATATTTTTTCGGCCAAAAATGTGTGATTTAAATTATATATTTTTTATTGTTAAGCACATCTGGCCCTTTATGTGAAAGATGGGCTATAAAAAGTACCATAATAATTATAAAAAAAAATGAATTACTCAGATAGGCCTTATTAAAACTATAAAATAATTACTGGTATATACAACAATTTAAAAACCCTGTCTTTACCTTAGCTCAATTTTGAGATGATTTACTAACCTCAGATTTTATTGTCCCCCGCCTTTCGAAGAAAGCAGGGGACTATTAAAATGGGTTCATCCGTCTGTCTGTCCGTCCGTCTGTCTGTCCGTCACACTTTTTGGGACACAATAACTCTCTTCCTAATTGAGCTAGAATGTTCAAACTTGGTGTATGTGTTTATTAGGTCAATGCCTTGATGGAGTTCGAAGATGAGCATTTTCCGCTTAGGGTAAGCAGAGATAAGCAATTTGATTGGTTGATGCTTTGGGACACGATAACTCTCTTCCTAATTGGGCTAGAATGTTCAAACTTGGTGTATGTGTTGATTAGGTCAATGCCTTGATGGAGTTCGAAGATGAGCATTTTCCGCTTAGGGTAAGCAGAGATAAGCAATTTGATTGGTTGATGCTTTGGGACACGATAACTTTTAATTGAGCTAGAATGTTCAAACTTGGTGTATGTGTTTATTAGGTCAATGCCTTGATGGAGTTCGAAGATGAGCATTTTCCGCTTACGGTAAGCAGAGATAAGCAATTTGATTGGTTGATACTTTGGGGCACGATAACTCTCTTCCTAATTGAGCTAGAATGTTCAAACTTGGTGTATGTGTTGATTAGGTCAATGCCTTGATGGAGTTCGAAGATGAGCATTTTCCGCTTAGGGTAAGCAGAGATAAGCAATTTGATTGGTTGATGCTTTGGGACACGATAACTTTAGTTCTAATTAAGTGAGATTGATGAAACTTGGTGTATAGTTTCATTACAGTAATACCTTGACTAAGTTTGATAATGAGCATTTTCTGCTCAGGGTAAGCAGAGCGATACGCAATTTGATTGGTCGAGACTTTGGAAAACAATAACTCTCCTACTTTGATTGTCCCCCGCCTTTCGAAGAAAGCAGGGAACTATTAAAATGGGTTCGTCCGTCTGTCTGTTTGTCTGTCTGTCCGTTCCGCTTATGGTAAGCAGAGATAAACAATTTGATTGGTTGATCTTCGAATTGAGTAAATGTTCATGCTTATTGTCCCCCGCCTTTCGAAGAAAGCAGGGAACTATTAAAATGGGTTCGTCCGTCTGTCTGTTTGTCTGTCCGTTCCGCTTAGGGTAAGCAGAGATAAACAATTTGATTGGTTGATGCTTTGGGACACTATAACTTTAGTTCTAATTAAGTAGATAAACAATTTGATTGGTTGATGCTTTGGGACACTTTATACAAACTTTTCCTTTTTATAAGCTCGTTTATATAGTTTATGCTTTAGCTCTTGAAGAAGCTTTCCAATGTATTACCCCTGTAATTCCTCCTCTTTTATCTGTACAATATTTTCGAAAAAAATGAAACGAAATCCACTTATGTATACATTTAGGTTACATTATAGCCTACATGTCCCGACTCAACTTGCCACATTACATGTCATAATATTATAACCAGGTATTGATAAAAGCATCAATTGAGCAATTCCAATACAATCCAATACAATGAATATAGGCAAGGTAAATAAACAAATAAATGGAAAAAACAAATTGAAAAAGAAACTATTATAAATTAATTAAATATGTAGTATGCAATAATGAATTGACATTTAATGACAGAAAGAAAACAGTGAACTTTGCACAACTTGCAGCAAGATGGAAAATAGACCCGTTGATACAACCAAACTCTAGATCTGTAGGCATAGAGCATGTTTTCCCCTTAATATGCTATAATTATTCCATCAAAAACATTGTATGCTTAGACTATAAGTAAAGATATACTGTTTGATTGTTCAATACTTTGTAAAAGATAATTTGTGATAAATTTATATGTGTCCTCTAATTATTTTCCTATTTCGGCGGGGGACATCAGCCTCACTGTTGGCTTGTTTTTGGTGACTTTAGTCTGTTTGCACATTGTATTGCACAATATATTTTCGGTATTTACTCGTAAATCTCATCCAAGGATTGCCAATTTTCTATAAGTTTATGTTTTGTGTGGACAATATGCCTATTGTTATTTTCAGGTATTGTAAAGGTATCAGAATCTAAATCCCTGATATACATTTCGATTTTATTTGTAAAAAATACAATTATATTCATCGATCGCTTTAGAGGATTTTGGTGCCGGTAATACCATAATATGAAGCAAATGGCAGACCGTTTTCTCTCTGCAGGATCGTTGTTATTTGACTCGTTCTTGCGTTTCCCGCCAATGTTGATAATATAATTTGAAACAATAATATCCAACTAGGCATGCTTGTATATTTTACGTGCCGTAAGAAGCCACGGTTCAACTATCAAAATATTTAATTATCTTCGAAAAGAATTGACGTCCATTTTAATATTTACAGTTATTTATTTTTATAGACGAAACAAAACATCAAATAATCACCGCTTGGATTAATCATTAGGAGTAAATAATGATACATATAGAAATCAACTAATCATTAATTTGAGCCAATTAGTATTACTTATTGACATGATCGGGATAATTAGTGAGTTGATTAATTGATAGTATGCTGCCATGTGATTGTGATTGACACTCCATGTAACGGTTGATCTACCATATAACAATTTTAAGATTTTTTTTCCCGCCAGTTCTCAAAAAGAATCACCCCAGAACGTTATCACCAAAATTAAATTTTAATCACCACTTATATATTTTTATCGCAAATTGCGACTTAGCGACCAACAGTGTGAGCCCTGCCAGGATGTATAAAACCTGACTTTTTCCTTTATCCCCTAATACTGTAAAATAAAACAATTGATTACGGAATAATTAGTGGGACAAAATAGCATAGAGTGCTTTAGGTTTAGATCCCTATTTAGAATTTGTTTAATAAATGTAACCACATTCCCTGTGTATTTTTAATCAAAATAAATTGGAGTAAGCCAACAATACACCTAGAATAATAGGCTTCCGATTAAAAGAACAAGATGGCCGTGGAATGGTTATTGACGCCATTAATATGAATACCAATGAAGCTAATATAAATAATTATATCGACTTTTATGAAACAAAAGGGTTCCAAGTAATAATCATATAATTTAGTTATCAACATTTGTGTTATTGGTCATTTGAACATACAATTAGAAAATGGAGGAAGAAAATAATTTGTAGTTATAGTTACAGTGGACTCAGTCACTTCCGACATCTAAATATAACGGCATTTTGTGAAATCCGTCATCATTTTCATGTCCCGATTTATTTCCTTATTACTTCAACCAAAAAGCTTTTGAGTACCAATCAATTATCTGTGAGCGGTCTTAGTTGATTACCTTGATAATTTTATAATCGCTTGGTATATGATTTGGATTTCTCACTTCAAATACAGCGACATTATATATAATAAATTGCCAAGATGAAGAATCACTATCATTATAATAATATTGTGTTCATAATGTGTGATCATCCTGCAAAGCGTACCCATACGGATTTGACATTGTATAGTAGTAGTAGTAGTAGGTTTTCTTGTTCAGTTTGGATAAGATGTTTGAAGACAAATGGTTACTATTGCCCCATCCAACGATGTTTTGTCCATATTAATTTAACGCAATGCACTCTTTTCGTGACGATTTGGCTTTTGCAAAATTAGGAAATATATCCGCAACCCTCTATCACATGTGGCATATTCACATTTCCTCTAGTAGCATATAATTTCCAATCAGATTCCTTTGAATACTGAAACGTTTCTTTATTGATTTTAGAGCATTTAGGTTTAGACTACTTTTTATACATTTCACCTATGTGGTTACTTGTATAGTTGAATTTTACTACATTATGCTTACATTCGTATTTCTTGTAGCATATAGCAGATCATGACTCATGCTGGCATTACACAATGATTTCTTTTGGTTGTATTCCTGATTGTTTTCAAATTTGAATGAAATCTGTGTCACTACAGACCCGGGACTGTACAGCGCAGTGGACACTTACAGCTAGCCCCCGGATCCATTCACTTTTTTAAATTGTTTTTCTGAGGTGATGTCTTGTCCGTGTATTTGTTTTTCCGTAAATTTTGTGTGGTGCAGTCCCCCTGCACTTAATTTAAATTACTAATACAATTTAGAACAAATTAAAACGAGAATAATCCAACTTTGAAGTATTAGTTACCTATGTTTTATTATAACTTTAATGAGAGTGTCTCTCTCGGCTATTATTCTAGATATATTTAATTGACACGTATACCTGATATTGTCTACTACATCGTTAACACAGTTCATCGCGTGCATTTCGCATACCGATAGTTCATTGGCCAATCACGCTATTTTACTGACATTTCGCCTAATAGTTTGGATGCAGCTATGGCGGGTGTGGCGCCAGGCAGGGTAAGCTTACTCTTCCGGACACCTGTTACCACTGTTTGTCGTGTATTTTGTACACGAGGAGCAGTCCATTTGCTGATTACACTATTTTGCTTGAATACACTATTTTGCCTAGAACGTTCTTTCTGTAATAATTCATACCTGATAACGTTTATTAAATAAAGGCTCATCAAGGTCGCTTGTTTGGACTTCCACAATTCCCAGACACACAAAGATAAATGTGGCATTTTCAGATGTACTCTAAATTATTATTTTCCGGTCATAAGTTTATAATCTATTAGAATTGAAGACCAGAGGTACCAGTTGTTAACAAGGCCGTATATAGTGTTTGTTTTATTCATAGCTTAAGTAATTATTAGTCCAGCCAGTGTCTTAAACATATTCAAGAGCTAAATCTGCCAATTGTAGGTCTTTCTTTAGACCTGAAATGTTATTAATTAGAAATTCAAAAACTTATCCAGACCATAATCAACTCTTGATGTCATCGCTAGCCTGTGATATTTAGCGGATTGGAATACATATTTTTTCAAATAATCCGGGTCCTCCGGTTTCCTCCCACTGCTAAAGACCCCTATGCACAAGCGAATTATTGAAATAAAATTGAACCATATGTTTGTCCCGAAATGACCTAGTTTATGTTGAATTGATGTTCAACCCAATTTCTCTTTCTTTTCCCTATTTTGATTTGTGTTGTGTGAAATAGAAGAGTTATTTATTTAGATCTAAAGAACTGTTAAAGTTTGTGTTATTAACAACTATACTTCTTGTTCCAGGTTCGTATGACATGTGGTTGACAGCTTGTGAAGATTATGCCAGACAACTTGAGGAGGATGGACAATACCATAAAAGTGCAACCTATCTGTTATCTTGTCATAAAGTCTATGATGCTATTGATTTATTTAAAAGACATAAACTCTATAAGTAAGTATTGGTAGTACCTCGGTCATTAGGACTTATCCTATCATTAAATCATATTAACCAATTTTACCATCGGAGGAAGAACTCTATCAGCGTTCCACAACCTTCCATTCCAGCGTAAAACACCCCCTTTTGTTTAAAATCTGATGTAAAACATTGGGGTTATGATAGGAAATGAGGTATAAAGTCCTACTGTTGTGCTCCAACTGGGCTAATGAAGACCGGGGCTTGGGGATACTCAACCTTCTATTCAGGAGTAAAATTTTCCGACACACACACATTTTTTGAAAACCTTGTCAACAGGATAGCAGCTACAGTTTTTATATGCCCACATGGAAATGTGGTTGTATATTGCCGTCGCCCCTGTCCGTCCAAACGTCTGTCTTTCCGTTCGTCCACAATTTTTTGTAAACCCTCTACAGACTTCATTTATCATCTGATTGTTTTGAATGGATATATGATCTCATCTGTATGAAATTGTCTTGTAAATGCTCCCCATTCACTACAAAACAATAAATATGCGACAACCCTTGCTGACCTCGGACGATTTAGCTGCTGTGGACGTATATTTTATTGCCTGGCAACCTATCTTTAACAGATTTGATCAAGTTTAACACAATAGAGTTCACATTCCTTGGAGGCATAAAGAATCTTTATCAAAGTTTTCATTAAGAATCTATCCAGATATAAATGCTGTGTGGGCGTATTATTAGAAATTTGAACATTCTGGACCTTTGTAATAAACATCCTGTTCTACAGTTTATTGTTCCGGGTCTTGAGAAGTGGATGGTCGAAAGGTTAGCGCGTGCACGTTGTATTATAAGGTCTATCATTGATTCGCAAGCGAATTACTGAAATAAAATTGAACTGTATGTTAGTCCAGAAATGACCTAGTTTGTGTCGAGTGGACGTAAAACTCTATTTCTCTCTCTTCCTCTATCATTGAGTCAACTGGCGTGGTTTCGATTCCCCGATTGTACGTGACAAGGAGTAGAGTCAGCTGTCAACCTCGTGGGTTTTCTTAGTGTACTCCGGTTTCCTCCCACTGCTAAAGACTCCTATGCACAAGTGAATTGAAATAAAATTGAACCATATGTTAATCCCGAAATGACCTAGTTTGTGTCACATGGACGTTCAACCCCATTTCTCTCTCTCTCCATCAAACATAGATAAAAATAAATTTGGTTGAAATGATCAGCTGAATTACATAGGTTTTAAATGTTAAGGATGTATTACTGTCTGTGAATTAAAATATTATAGATCAATAATTAAAATATTATAGATCAATAATTAAAATATTATAGATCAATAATTAAAATTATAATATTTAACAAGTAAAACTATGAATAACAAAAAAACAGAGAAATCAGATTATCTGAATTGATCATTTTGCTATACAACTTAAGTATATAACTTTATGCGAGCTGCTTGAAACCAACTGTTGGTCAATATCCCGATGCTGAAGAAATATTTATATATTCTACATACAAGTTAAAAAAGAGAAGCCAAATACTTGTATAGGTTAGACTACATCTATGTTAATTAACTGAAGTAAATAACTCGTTAGTTTGATACTAATGAATTCCAACAAGATGACGTAGAGAAGTATTTTATCACTTAGAACATTGCTATAAAATAACAGGCCAGTTATTATTATTTGACAGAAGGTAATCACTTCTGTCAGCTTCGTGAATGAAAACCTAATTGATTTAATATGGCTAGAGAAAAGGAACCACACAAACATTCTATATATATATATGTATTTGAGGTCGCTGGACTATATATATATAATACTAAAGAATTTGGACAAATTTTTGGTTAGTTGTTGCTTGTACTTCAAAAATTCTGTTCAGTTTGTTTTTTTGACCAAACAAGACGAAGCCCAATAACTGTTAAGAAAGTTTCTTGCCACGCTTGAACATGGTGGTGCTCTGAATTATTGCATCATGAAAATGGGGCCCATATAAATATATTTTTTTGATGATGATTTAATCATTTTGTGTAGTATCTTATGAAAACAAACTGGCGTGGTTTTGATTCCCCGATTGTACGTGACAAAGAGTAGGGTCGCCTGTCCAACGGACAATACGAACAAGCCGCTAAATGGTAAGGAATTTAATTGTAAAGGATTTGAAAATTGAGTCAGTTATTGTAAATTCACAAATTGTTATCAGAGAGGTTTATTGTACAATCCGGATTAAATACAGATCTGTATTTCGTTTCAATGAGGGGGGTTGGATGGCCGAATGTATCAAACGGTCTGTCATTGAGTCAACTGGCGGGGTTTCGATTCTCCGGTTGTACGTGACAAGGAGTAGGGTCACCTGTCCAACCTCGTGGGTTTTCTCCGGGTCCTCCGGGTTTCCTCCCACTGCTAAAGACCCCTACGTACAAGGGAATTATTGAAATAAAAGTGAACAATATGTTAGTCCCGAAATGACCTTGTTTGTGTTGAGTGGACGTTAAACCCCACTCTCTCTCTCTCTCTATCTCTTTCTCTCTCTCTCTCTCTCTTGGGGCAGCCACAGTGGTTGAGTGGGTTAGACGCTGGCTCGCTAGTCTGGAGGTCGCGTGTTCAATCCCTGCATTGGCCGAGAAAGGTCATTGTGATTTACCGACGTGGTTTCCTCTTGTCAGTGGTGCAGGACGAAGGGCCTGACAAGGACAGCTGTCTAGTCATTTGATTTGGATGGTATGAAAAACTGAGGTCCCGTGTATACATTGGCGTGCATGTAAAATTCGATATAAGAGTAGGCCATAGTGCTGCTGCCCAGGCAAAATTTCCCTCATAGCACACTGTTTGGCGTATGCCTTCATTAGTCCAGTCGGAGCAGAACAGTAGGAAGTTAAACCTCATTTCCCGTAATCCAGACAAAATATTAATGAATTTAATACTGTAAATAAATGTAACCTTCATTTAATAGACCAACAAATCATTGAAATTGTTTTTTTATTTGCTTTCTCCTACTCCAGACAAGATGTAAATTTAAAACCCTAATTAAATGTCAGTTTCAATTTACAGACTAGCAAATCATTCAAATTTATTTTTATTTAAAGGGAAGCTGTATCTCTAGCACGAGTTCGACTGTCTCCTCTCGAACCTCTGTTCGAAGATTTATATACTGATTGGTCACAGCAGTTAATGAAAGACGGACAATACGAACAAGCCGCTAAATGGTAAGGGATTTAGTTGTAAAGGATTTGAAAATTGAGTCAGTTATTGTTAATTCACAGATTGTTATGAGAGAGGTTTATTCTACAATCGGATTAAATACAGATGAGGGGGGGTGGATGGCCGAATGGTTAGCACGCGTAAGACATTGATTAATCAATCAGAGTTGATGTTTCTAGTGTTGGTTAACACCCACAGATTGAAGGCCGGATTATCATCCAATGTTAATTGAACGCAAATCATGTGACAGGACCGCTGATTGATGTTGTAATTTGGAATATTTAGAATCCGAAATACTCAAAACTTTTTGGGTTGAAGTAATAAGGAAATAAATCAGGACATGAAAATGATGACGGATTTCACAGAATGTTGTAGTATTCAGATGTCGGAAGTGACAATCTGGTTAAAACACAGATCCTATTTCGTTTGGTTTTTATAGTTCAAAATTTCGTTTAACTTGTCTTTACTACACTTGAATCTGGAAGAGTTGTTATTTAACTTGTGTTCTGCTTGAAATGAGGGGTCAGCCAATCAAATGGTCTGTCAAATTGAGTGTTTGACCTTTTTTGCCCGGAACTGTGGGTAATCCACTAGTAACATCAATGCTGATTGGTTAATCAAATGTCTGACGTCATAGGTCAAAAGTCGGTCTTTTGATCCCTGACGTGACCTATCGCTATAACTGGTCAGATCTTCATGTAGTGTAGGCCATCGAAAGATTAAAAAAACGAAACAAAATATAGATCTGTATTTTTATCAGATTGTCGGAAGTGACAAGAGTCCACTGTATATTCTAACAGCACAACCTTGGGTAGGGCCTACATAGAGATTATAACCAATGTATTAAATTGACCATCTTTTGTGAGTTTATATTATCTGTATTTTAGCTACGTGGCTATGAAGAAGATTCAAGATGCTGCTAAAGTTTTAATCAGAAGAAGTGACCAATCAAGTTTAAAGACTGCAGCACACATGACTTTATTAGCCAATGAAAAGCAGCAAGGCATGTTGTATGCTCAGCGTGTTGTGAACCAATGTCTCAGTCAATATACCTGGCAAGATGCCTACAAATTTCTCAATGAACACGAAGCAACAAAGGTCAGTTTATATGGGGTTATAGATGTTAAATATCAAATTTTCTGTAAATTACAAGTAATGGTCTGTAACTACAACTCTTGTGATAAAAGGCTTCTAGTTACTAATTATCATCAGATGAGATCTCCTTACACACCTGAAACCTTTTCAAGAGAATTTCAAAATGGTTGTTTTATGTTTCAATCAATCAAATTAAGGAAAAACAGTGATGTTTTCCTGGTTGAAAAATCTATAGTGACACTACATTAAATTGTTTTTCTAAATTAGATTGAATTATATTTATTTATAGAGCAAATTTCACAATCTCTGAACATCGACTTTTGCCATTCTATGGGGTGGAAGATTTTAAAATCTAAAGATTTAGATCAAAAAAGTTGAATGAAAGTTATACTTGCCCAAATGAATTTTTATATGCCTCCGTCCATCCACAGTTTCTTGTGAACTCTTTACAGACGAAATTTATTATCCGATCTTTTGAAAAATCTATATTGGTGAGACAAAAAAGCCTATTTTATTTCAACAATTTCTGTTAATTACATCCAGAGTTACAGCCCTTGTTTCATTTTGTTGAACCATGTTGAAGCTCTATCTTAAAAGTTATCATCCGATCTGTATGAAATTTATGTGTTATTTAGATTAGTAAAACAAAGAAGCCTGTTTCATTTCAACAATTTCCATTGATTATTTCTAGAGTTATGGCTCTTGTTTCACTTTTTAGAACTTTTTGAATGCTCTAGCAACAAATTCCATTAATATCTTTTGGAGTTATTGCCCTTGTTTCACTTTGTAGAAACTTGTGAAAGTTGACAAAAGTTATCTTCCAATCTGTTTTAAATTTATATGCATTATTTAAATTAGTAAAACCGAGACTCGTTATTTCAAATTCCAACTATCAAAGCTTGTTTTTATATGCCTACATTTTCATATGGCCTAGCTATATTGTTGTCGCCCCTGTCCGTTATCATTAAGTTTGTGAACATTCTGCAGGTCACAAATTTTATCTGATTTGAATGAAACTTGAAATATAAGTGTATCTCGCACAGATCTCGGTTCCTGCCGAAATTAGCATGTATCGGACCTTAACATCATGGATTATGACCCCTGATTGCCGAAATTGGCATGTATCAGACCTTAACTTCATGGATTATGACCCCTGATTGTACGAAAAATCATGTTTTTTAGCTTGTGGACTCGCTAAGAGGCCCTGAATGTGTGTTCAGGTTGATATTTGCGCATATCGAACCGTCGGAGCAAAACAGTAGGACATTAAACCCCATTTCATTTCATATCGAACCGTCGGAGCAAACCAGTAGGACGTTAAACCCCACTTCATTTCATTTCATATCGAACCATAACTTCCTGGATTAATGGCCCCTGATAGTACGAAAAATCACGTTTTGGCTTGTGGTCCCTCTAGAGGTCACAATTTGTATTCAATTTTAAAAAAAAAAGATTTAAATGTATCACTGTTACACCTCAGTGAAGGTTGAGTTCCGACCGATACTGCTGGATAAAATGGTATTGCATAGTTTGGGTTAAAAGAAATAATAGATGATCTGGATTCAACATTTTATTATAACATATACAATAGGTTGGGTTAACAGAAATAAAAGATGATCTGTATTCAACATTTTATTGTAACATATACAATAGGTTGGGTTAACAGAAATAATAGATGATCTGTATTCAACGTTTTATTATAACATATACAATAGGTTGGGTTAACAGAAATAATAGATGATCTGTATTCAACGTTATATTATAACATATATAATAGGTTGGGTTAACAGAAATAATAGATGATCTGTATTCAACATTTTATTGTAACATATACAATAGGTTGGGTTAACAGAAATAATAGATGATCTGGATTCAACATTTTATTATAACATATACAATAGGTTGGGTTAACAGAAATAAAAGATGATCTGTATTCAACGTTATATTATAACATATACGATAGGTTGGGTTAACAGAAATAATAGATGATCTGGATTCAACATTTTATTATAACATATACAATAGGTTGGGTTAACAGAAATAAAAGATGATCTGTATTCAATGTTACATTATAAAATATACAATAGGTTGGGTTAACAGAAATAAATGATGATCTGTATTCAATGTTATATTATAAAATATACAATAGGTTGGGTTAACAGAAATAAAAGATGATCTGTATTCAACATTTTATTGTAACATATACAATAGGTTGGTTTAACAGAAATAATAGATGATCTGTATTCAACGTTATATTATAAAATATACAATACTATCAAAATACTAAATAAAAGATGATCTGTATTCAACGTTATATTATAAAATATACAATAGTATCAAAATACTAAATATAATATAATGACAGGCTACAGAACAATTACCGCCTTTACCGGTAATCTGACATCTGAACATTACTAAACATAATTAGAGATCTAACTTAACCATCATCATACAATATGGTAGCAGCTGGACCATTGTTAAAGGAAATAATAGTGTGGGCGTATCTTGCCTGGCAACCGCTGGTTTTTACATGCATTTAAACAACGAGACACCACCCTGCACATCCAACAACAGGAAACTGACCTGGAAAATCCAGAAGAACATAGTCGACCAACACCCGAGACCTCCTGGTTAGCGAGCCAGCGTCTTACTCGCTGAGCCATCTTGTATACCCGTCTTCATTAGCCCAGTCAGAGCAAAACAGTAGGACGTTAAATCCCATTTCATTTCACTGAGCCATCAGACATGCGTTGTGACGTTATAAAAATCAACACGTGTAATTGCCAAATTTATGTATGTTCATTTGATTAGATATTTTTATAGCAGACAGTGGAAGATTGAAATGTTCAAATTGGAAAGTTAAACTAGTTCTGATAAATTACTTTTATTCTTGCAGATATTCGTGCCTTTTGTAAGTGTTCATGAATTATTAGTAAAAGAACTGCAGATATTAGCTGGGGGAAGTATAGGACCAATCAGTAGTGATAAATTTAGTGTCTGGGTTGATATTCCACCGCAAAATTCAGTCATACCAGGTAATAAAACATTCTATCATTAAAGAAATATTATGGGAGATTAGATATAGAGCTGGCAGTTCTCACTATAATAGTTAAACACTACATAATGTAAAGGCAATTTGCTGAAAATTTCGGTCAAATTGATCCACTCTGAATCGAGATTTTAGCGATTGAATTTTCGACCTAGTCTCGATCATCATTACTAAAGTCGGTAGTATAAAAAACATAGTCTCGATTATGCATTTCATGATTAAATTATGAATGGAAGTCGAACAACAAATCGATGCCATCGAGAGTTGATTATGGTCTGGATGTCTAATTAATAATTCAGATAACATTTCAGGCCTAAAGAAAGACCTGCAATAGGCAGATTTAGCTCTTGCATAATGTATGTTTAATGTGGGAAACACAGCATTTGTTACGAATGTCCTATTCTGTATTCAAAGGAACTCTTAAAACTACCAAATTTCTGATCAAGTTAAGCGAACTGAACAATAAGGTTATAGTCTTAGATTTAGATTCAAGGCCCAGTGTGCAGTCATCTTTAATTGTGGGTTTAGGTTGAATAACACTGCCTTGGCAAAAATAACCACTCTGCATATTGGTCAGAAGAAAAATTATTTTCCCTGTTCTTCAGGATATATTGGTAGAGCCATGATATTCTAGAATACCTGGTCTTTTAGGCCCAGGATATTAAAAAGGTACTTAAACATGCATTATGCAAGAGCTAAATCTGCCTATTGCAGGTCTTTCTTTAGGCCTGAAATGTTGTTTTTGAAGTCACATAGTGTAAGTAATAATTTTATTTCAGATTTTATTTTGGATGGTACGGAATCGGATCCAGTTTTACCATGGAAACCATATCTAACAGGAAAGCATTCCTTCCCTCATCATGTACTCAGATGTTGGTATTGCAACCTTAATGTTGCTATGGATACCAACAGCCTTAGCAACATGTACAAAACATTAATACATCATCAGTCTGGACGACAAGGGCTGCTAGACATGAGTCAGGTAACGAATCACAAGAATAATTTATTTATCCCTAAAACAAATGTAAGGAGTCCATGGGAAGAACGATCCAAGTCACATTTTTGTCTTTTTCTTTCGCATAAAAGGCAAAACAGACTTTTGGACGAGAATGCTTGACGCAAACAGAACGAGTGGGTTTAATTACAACTTCAAAATGATGTTTAATACGAATCCTAATTACCAGTACAACAGCTGACTTCCACTTTTCTGCCAAATTAAGGTCAAATAAATACGATGGACTTGTATTTGTCCGGGAGGCCATTTCAGAAGGGCCTTGGTTCTATGTGACTCCGATTGTTTTTAGCTGAAATTGATTGTTCCATAGAGAGCTTATACAATTTGCTAACAGATGGCGTCATTAACTGGGGTTTGTTGAAAAAGTGACTTAGATCGTTCTTCCGCAGGGCTCTTCATTTGTCGTGGGGTTAATTTACTCTACAGACTACATGTTATCCAATATCTATATGAAATGAAATGGGGTTTAATGTCCTACTGTTTTGCTCCGACTGGGTTAATGAAGACGGGCATACGCCATACAGTGTGCTATGAGGGAAATTTTGCCCAGGCAGTGGCACTATGACCTAATCTTATATCGAATTTCAACTGCCAAGGGATCTAATGTGTACGGCAACAGGTTCTTTTTGTCCCATCCAAATGACTAAGACAGCTGTCCTTGTCAGGCTGTCATTCCTGCACCACTGACAAGGGGAAGCCCTGTCGGAAAATCCTGATGAACTTTCTCCGCCAATGCAGGGATCGAACCCTTTAAACCCTTAAAAGATTTTGGATTCTAAGAGTTAATTTACCTGATTTATTTACCTAAAGAACCAGCATAAGTCAACCTTTATGGTCAACTGTGAGTGTATATTTCATAGCCAGGCAATCAATCAGTCTATCTGACCAACCTTGAAACTGTCTGTAGAGATTGACATGGGTATTAATTATTGTCGGATATATATAGGGTTTCCACTGTCTATATTCCATGGAAAAACAACTATTAACTGATCATATTTCTATCAACTATCTATAATAACATGAAACCTTGTAATTTATCAAACAGAATACCATATTTATATCAATAACAACACTTACTAATTCATCTTAACAAATAGTTTCTACAATCATTCACATGAAACATACATTTCAAGTAGCTAAGTCTCTAACTAAATATCATCCACAGCCTTTGACAATGAAAACACAAATTATTTATCAATTTACATCAACATTGATGTTGTGACCTTACCGGGGAAAGAACGAGCCATGTCAAACGGTGACGACCAGTGCAGACTGGAATAACAAGACATTAGAGATTGTTATTCGATTGAGACTTCTTGCGTATTTCGCCGAACATAACTGATTAGAAATTAAAGTGAAAACAGAAATGATTAAATGTAAATCAGTTTATATACATTCATATTACATTATTATATGCATTGCGACCCATTTGTGTCAATTTCTGGTTCCCAAATATTAGCGATTTAAGGTAAACCTTACCCACTTTTCCTGAAATTTGTTTTATATCCCTATTTTGGCAGAAGTTGATATTCCAGATTTTATTCCATAAACACCACTAGGTAAAAAAAAAAAATCAGAACTACTCATTTCAGCAATTTTGACAAATTGGTTATTTGAATAATTGTGGTCATAGCCATTTTTGCCGAACTCACCAAAATTGAATCCCAGGAATAAGTTATAATTCGAAATAAACAGTTTTTCAGCCAAAATAAGCATATAAACCAAATTTTAAGAAAAGTTTCCTTCCACTACTAAAGACCCCAACACACAAGCGTATTATTGAAATAAAATTGAACAATATGTTAGTCCCTCCAACCATTGACCAGAGGAAGAGCCTGCGTGGTACCCCCTTGTCAGTGATGTAGGACGGAGGGCCTGACAAGGACAGCTGTCGAGTCATTCGGATGGGATGATAAACCAAGGTCCTGTGTACAAATTGGCGTTCACGTGCATGTAAAAGATCCCTTGACAGTTGGAATTAGATATAAGAGTAGGCGGTAGTGCCGCTGTCCGGGCAAAATTTCCCTCATAGCACACTGTATGGCTGTATGGCTTATGCCCTATGCCCATCTTCATTAGCTCAGTTCGGAGCAGAACAGTAGGACATTAAACCCCATTTCATTTCATTTCATTTCGAGATGAAGAGTGAGTCGTTTATATCAACATAATGATTCCGTCCAGGTGCGCAATCACCAAATGAGCACACAGTGGCGACACCAAATGACTTCATATTGATGGTTGCTAGGCAGAAGTGTAGAAATTCTAAATTCGTTGATGTTGATGCTAAACGTGTAAAGCATCAATGAAGATGTTTTTTGTCTAAATAATAGAAATAAGATGAAATAGAATTAAATGGTTAATTATAAGAATAATTATACACATAATATTCAAGCATAACTCGGCCAAGCAGTCCTCAAGGGTAGTCATGGGAGTATGGGAGTATTTACAGAAGCGTTTCCGTAGTGTAATAGTTTTAGTATCATCGCGCTATATATACAGAGTATTATTATTATTATTAAAAATTGATCAGGAGTAACTTCCACTTGACACAAACTAGGTTATTTTGGGACTAACATTTGGTCTGATGTTATTTCAATTATTCGCTTCCACATACTGACATAGGGGTCTTTAGCTGTGGGAGGAAACCACAGTTGAATTTGGCCATCCACTCCCGTCTATAAGTTACTGTGGTTAACGAATCCTCGACTCACTTGACACTACTTGGGATTAATCTTGATAAAGATTACACCTGCTGACACTGTGGACTATTAAATACTGTAACGTTGATATCGTTGACTAAAAAACTGTTATAAACGAAAATATACGACCCTAATAGATCAAAGTCGTCGTAATGTGTGTTTGTTAGTTAAAATTGTTGGTAATCGTTCATACGTCCACTTCCACCAAGGGTGATATCGTAGACATAGTAATAAGTCAGTAGTCATTAGTGTTATGTCACTAAAGTGTTAAAACTGTGACGATTGTCCAGGTTTGTGTATTCAATAGTGATGGGTGTTATAAATAGTCACGCTTTTACACCAGTAGTAACATCTTTTAGAGCTAATAACACACCTGCTAATTAATGACAACTGTATAATTTCTAGCCACTTTCTATACATACTAAACATTAGTTTAGAATACTGACCATTTATTGGCTTTAATGACAAATATTGTAATTACTAAAAGGCCTAGGTTCATTAGTCAACGGTATCAGTTTACGAGTGATAGCTAAAATATCACATCCGTAACTAGAAAAGTTCATGTGGATGTCATCTGTATCTACATTACACCAAGCGATGTCAAGCAAACTGATTCGTTACCTATATTAATCCAGGTGAGGTCATACAGGAGTAATCGCTTCCTGAAATGTAATGGTTAATTACATATAAAACGGTAGAAATGAACTTTATCTGTAAAGACATAAAACTGACCATTTTCTCCTTGTCTGAAATAGGTAGCTATAGAATCACAAGATGATTTTCTACTGTTTAGCAATATTTATTTGTGTAAGGAAGCCGATCAAGTTTTTGACCTTTACTTCCCCTATTAACAATATTTATAGCTATATTAACACAACATGTTTATGTTAGGTTTCTGTTATTAAATGATATCGTGCTATTAGAATATTTCTTCTCAATTGATTTTAAATTACTTCCGTCAAACCAGTTGTCAGCTGTCGTGACTGTGCAGAAGAACGGTAGTATACTGTTACAAAGATTGTAAAATATTAGACAGCCATGATAAATCATGTCAAGATGTTGTCTGGATAGATTTAAAGGAGCTGTCAGGGAGGCCACAGTGGCTAAGTGGGTAATGCGCTGGCTCGCTAGGCTGGAGGTGATGCAGGACGGAGGGCCTGACAAAGACAGCTGTCTAGTCGTTCGGATGGGATGAAAAACCGAGTTCCCATGTACACATTGGTGTGCACGTAAAAGATCCCTTGGCAGTCGGAATTCAATATAAGAGTAGGCTGTCCGGGAAAAATTTCCCTCATACCACACTGTATGGTGTATTCCTGTCTTCATTAGCCCAGGTCGGAGCAGAACAGTAGGACATTAAACCCCATGTCATTTGATTTAAAGGAGACGTCCCTGATTACAATGGATATTGGTTGATCAAACTGCAGACTGTGCCGTTCAAAAATACCAAAAAAAGTCTTTGTCGGTCCTTCTGAAAATCTATTTGAGAGACATTGATACTTCAGTGGCTGATCAGGGATCATGCAAGCACCCCAAGAATAAAAGAAATATTAAATTTACTTTTTGTTATGGAAATTTGAAAATCAGTAACTCACTATTAAATTTGTTTTTACCATATGTTAACTGAAAAATGGCTATTTACTAAGTGAATGGACACTAGATCACACTGAAATGGAGAGAGTTTAATTTAGTTCTAATATTAAATTCATATCCAACAAGCTACTAAACTTCCCTTAGAAAATGAAAGTCTCCAAATGACGGGTTAAAAAAAACCCAGTCTTCATAGCTATCACAACACTTTTACAAAATATTCAAGGTTTACTTTATTACATTAAAGATGAGCGTCATTTCATATAAATATCTGGGATTATAAATCCGACCATCTCAGATTTTAATGAAACTTGATATGGAGGGTTGTTTAGCTTGAAAAAGTTGAATTTCAAAGTTCGTTCCATTGGACTTATTGCTGCATGTTTTCGATAATAACCCTATCTTTAAATAGCAATATATCCTGAACTACTGGCTAAATTATCATTATCTAGGTAGATTTTCTCTGGCATTTAAACAGGTTAGGTTAACGTCAGTAATAATAATAATATTTATTATTTAACGGCAATTACATCAACATAGATCTCAATAGGTGGTACAACAACATAAAGTGAAAAACAATTAAATATCACAGAGCATCATGAAAAAAAAGATGGCACGTATATAAAAAAAAAACATTTACATTAAAAAGTAGATCCACAATCAAAAAAAATCACTTGAAAAAAATCTTAAAAACCAAAACAAAAATTTAAAATTGCTTAAATGACTCAAATATGATAATTAAAACTGATAATATGCTGTGTTAAAAAGATGAGTCGAGATTTAAAAGATTCAAGTGATGGTGCATTACGGATGTTTAAAGGTGCGACATTCCAAAGACTAGGGGTGGTAATAGAAAACACTCGCTTGCTATAAAACTCTTGAGTAGACTGGCGTGGTTTCGAATCCCCGGTTGTACGTGACAAGGAGTAGGTTGTATGTGACAAGGAGTACCTTGTGGGTTTTCTCTGGGTCCTCCGGTTTCCTCCCACTGCTAAAGACCCCTATGCGCAAGCGAATTATTAAAATAAAATTAAACCATATGTTAGTCCCAAAATGACCTAGTTTGTGTCAAGTGGACGTTAAACCATATTTCTCTCTCTCTCTCTCTCTCTCGCTATAAAACTCCTGCTTGTATCTTGACTCGAAAAGTTGTATTCCTGATGAAGATCTGGTGGTTCTAGTTGACTGATCAAATGAATAGTCCTTTATTAAAAAAGATATTTGTGCAACTAACTAATGAGTGTAATCGATTTATTTTGAGATTTAGGTTGGGGAACATTACAATCTAGTCTACTTAAAATAAATCAGCACAAGTATGCTTTTAAAAGTGTGAATACATTTAATGTTTAGAGACAATTCTATTATCTAAAATGTTTATTGATTTTACTTGTACAAAAATGAACAGAAACTGATGTCATTAACGTGATCAAAGCTTATACTTCTTCAAAATCAAATCAACTTACTTGCCCATTAGAGAGAATCAAATATCTTATTATTTTAACCGCAAAAATACAATTTGATAATATATTTTGGCGTATACAATCCAATATCAAAGAATACCGTTTATTTTTTAAAAATTAATCTAAATGAAGTGTGTATGTAGGATGAGATAGTCAAGTAGGGTTCTATTTTCCATTAGCTAATGTTTTTACCGTTTTAACAGTTTTACAGTTTATATCTAACAGTATTGTTTTAGAACAAAGAATATTGTAGAGTTTAACTATAAACGCTACTATGTTCTGTTGAGATAATTCTTGACAGTTTAATAATTTAGTGCATGGAGTCTGGCAGTCCAGTCATAAATTGCGTTTCAGTGTTCTGTTATTAATCCAGTTTTTGCCACAGAACCTTTGCTTGCCTGTTTCGTTGATTGTTTAAATTTGATGGATATCACTTAAATTTAGTAGTATGTTAGCTATATTCCCGGAAACATGTGGGAACAAATTTAGACATTGTTACAAAATTTGGTCGGCTGCACTTAATCATTTCCCTTCAAAGACATTTTGTTAAATGGGGTTGGATGTCTGAATGGTTAGCACGTGTGTCTTGTATCATAAGGTCTGTCATTGAGTCAACTGGTGTGGTTTCGATTCCCCGGTTGTACGTGACAAGGAGTAGGGTCGCCTGTCCAAAATTGAACCATTATGCTAGTCCTGAAATGACCCATTTCTCTCTCCCTCTCAAACCCAAGTGACAAGATTAGTTGCCACATTGTCAGAATTATTGTTATGAAATATTCCCCTGCTGATGGCATTACTCTGATAAACCAAATGAACCACCTGCTACCTTGAACTTTATATTATTATTATTATTGTTCGATTTATATAGCGCTTCATTACACGTGAAGTGTTTCTAAGCGCATATCACAAACATATACTTCAAACACACAGAAACAATCAAAATCAGGAGAACATAATTAAACACAGCTGCCTGTTAGGCGCTATTATTCAAAGGTTTATATCCAACAAATCAACCGGCTAATCTCTATATTGAACTCAGTCGAGGTATTACCTGATGAACACCTACACCAAGTAGAGTTCAAAAATAAAAAACGAAGTTTAAAAGAATCAGCTTCATTAACAAAAATTAAACAATAAAAAACTAAACAGATAAATCAAATTCAAACGAAACAAATAAAACAAAGAAAATGAAAAGAGCAGTTCATTACCATTCTACATTAACAAAATAAAGGAAAACAACTTGTGAAATTTTTTTCAAAAAATAAGAGCAACTGATGTCAAGCCATATCTACTGTAGAATGTATTATTGGGTTATAAAAACGTATATAACTTGGGTTTGATCCTGTTGTTGGTTGAGAATATTCCTCAGTATTTACCAGATAACTGCACACCTGAGACATGTAACGGAAGAGAAAGCGAGATTTTGATCAGACTTTTTGGCGTTTTATACCCCCACATGGAAATATGGTTATATATTGCTGTCGCTTTGGTCTGTCCGTCGTCCACCACACTCTTCACGACTAAAGTTATCATCCGATCTGTATGAAATTTATATGCATTATTAAGATTAGGGAACGAAGAAATATATTGAATTTTGCATTTCAGCAATTTCCGTTTATAACTTTAAATAGTTATGGCCCTTGTTTCACTTTATTGAACCTTAAGAATGCGCTAAATTGATATCAGTTACTTGTAAGTGCTCCCATTACCTACAAAAGAATAAATATATGACAACCATTGTAGACTGCTCGGACGATTTAGCTGCTGTGGGCGTATGTTTCATTGCCTGGTAGCCTATCTTAAAAATTGTAACGTGAGATTGCTTGAACCGAAAAACAGATCATGGGGTCCACTTTTAAACATACATTATGCAAGAGCTAAATCTGCCTATTGCAGTTCTTTCTTTAGGCCTGAAAGGCATCTGAATTATTAATTAACTTATCCAAACTATAATCAAATCTCAATGCCATCGCTAGCCTGCGATGTTTACTAGATTTTAATAAATTTTGTGATGGATGATTTAAGGCAGGACACTACCTAAGAATTTTACATTGATAACAGAAACTTGCCATTTAGTGTAATATTCGTATATGATGTCCCAAATCAGATTTGATAATTTGAGCGCAAAATGTTTATTTGTTGCCATGGAAATAGTGGCCATATTGGATTTTTTTATATATTCACGGTGGCTATGTTAGGAAATCAATATCTTCAACAATTTTATTGAAACAAACTATTTGTGATTTGGAATAACATATATAGGCATTAAAGAGTGCAATAAGGCATAAATTTTACTATTTGAATGTTAATAAAGAACATTTTGCATCCCACATAAAACAAGTGGGTGTGGCCGAACACACCACTAAAAAGATTTTGTACAATAAAATGTCCAAATGTATAACAAACACTTTGAAAATCACCTTATTGGACACAGTAGCTATAGCACTAATTCGTATTCCAAAGATGAGACCATTATCTCTCATCGATTTTGAGAATTTGATTTTCTAAGACCCGATATGGGTGAAAAATTGAGTACGGAAAAAAGCAAGTTAAAAGTTAAAAGTTTGATTTACCTATATAAATGACTAAATATTTAACACTATATAATATAAAGGCTGGACACGACTTGAAAAATCAACAAATTTTAACTATTTTGGGCAATTTTAGCCGATATCAAAATTTGACAGATCAATCTATACAGAGTCTTTTATAAGGTAGTGTCCTGCCTTAACGTCAAAATGGATGATCGAGACCAACTTTAGTAATGATGATCCAGACTAGGCCTAAAATTCAATCGCTAAATACTCGGTTCAGAGTGGATCAATTTGACTGACATTTTCAGCATACACTTTTTACGTTATCTATTTTTTTAACCATTATAGCGGGAACTGCTTCTAATCTCCCATTATGCCCCTTTAAAAATATTGTATCTGGTTTATACTTCCTGATCACCATGAATCAATGAATCAATATATTCTTGTCTTCATCTTTTGTTTGTTTGTTTTTTCTTCTAGATCATTCTACAAGTGAGTGGTGATCTGACATTGTTTTTACTGGCTTTGTTATTAAATGAAACAACGGCAGCCATTAATCATCTATTACAAGCAGTGATAAGTCTTCATGAAGCAGGTCAACTTGAGTTAATGCAGGGTTTATGTCAACTTGTTTTACCACATGGTAGGTTTACAATTAATGCTTCCTGAAACGACACGATTCACCACCTGGCATTTTTGTTGGGGTTTTTTTTTCTCTGACTATCTAATTTTTTCATGGCTTAAACATACATTATGCTAGAGCTAAATCTACCTATTGTAGATCTTTCTTTAGGCCTGCCGTCTTCATTAGCCCAGTCGGAGCAGAACAGTAGGACATTAAACCCCATTTCATTTCATTTATGTAGGCCTGAAATGTTATCTGAATTATTAATTAGACATTAATTAACTTATCCAGACCATGCTCAACTCTCGATGTCATCTTATGTGTCATATTTTCACTGGATTTGAATCCGATCTGCTGCTCTACGCTCATTCATGATTAAATCCAAAAAGGATAATCAAGACTACCGTTTTTAGTAATGATGATCAAGTCTAGGCCTAAAATTAAATTGCTAATATCTTGGTTCAGAGTGGAGCAATTTGACGAAATTTTCAGCATATTCCCTTTACATTATGGGGGGTTGGATGGCCGAATGGTTAGCACGTGCGTGCTGTATCATACGGCCTGTCATTGAGTCAACTGGCGTGGTTTCGAATCTCCGGTTGTACGTGACAAGGAGTAGGGTTGCCTGTCCAGCCTTGTGGGTTTTCTCCGGGTCCTCCGGTTTCCTCCCACTGCTAAAGACCCCTACGCGCAAGCAAATTATTGAAATAAAATTAAACCATATGTTAGTCCCGAAATAACCTAGTTTGTGTCGAGTGGACGTTAAACCCCATTTCTCTCTCTCTCCCCTTTACATTATCTCGCTTTTAACTTATTATAAAGAGAACTGCCAGCTCTTTATCTAATCTTCCATAATTCCCCTTTAATCTACAGCTATGTTCACAAATTGGTTATTTTATTGAACAATTTATTGAGAAACACAAACCAATATATCAACATTAGATATCTCCCATAGGACCATCAAATGATGTTACCCAAGACTTTTTGGTCAGGCTGGCTTATTTATTATAAATAACCATTTTTGGAATGATTTATGTTATATTGAAGTTTCAAGGGAATTCAAATTCCCACAAATGACGAGCGTGCCATGTAGTCAGCAATTAGAGCAAAAATATTGACACCCAAATGTCAGATTTCACCTTGTATTGATCTCTTAAGGTTTTCCAAATTATTTGTTTTCATGAAGTAATTTTATCCAAAGGCAATCACATAGATAATCATTGTTGTGTATAAAAACATATATTTGTAAGCTGTCTGGTTCAAGTGGTCTTATTGTGTACAGACCTATAGAATTTTTGAAGTGTGCTTTAACATGAAATGGGGTTTAACATCCTACTGTTTTGTTCCGACTGGACTAACGATCATGGGCTATTAGAGAAATTTTGCCTGGACAGTAGTGTTTTTTTTGTCCCATCTGAATGACTAGACACTGTTCTTGCCAGGCCATCTGTCCTGCACCACTGACAAGGGGAAACAGTGCAGGAAAATCCTGATGAACCTCCTTATTAGCGACGTGACAAGGAGTATGGTCGCCTGTCCAACCCCGTGGGTTTTCTCTGGGTCTTCCGGTTTCCTCCCACTGCTAAAGCAAAATTATTGAAATAAAATTGAACCACATGTTAGTCTCGAAATGACCTAGTTTGTGTCGAGTGGATGTTAAACCCCATCTCTCTCTTTATCTCCTGGTTAGCGAGACCCATCAAAAAAAAGATTGCTTATACTTAGGGATTGATGGTTAACAATCTGATTAAAATACAGATCTATATTTCGTTAGTTTTATACTTCCGATGGCCTACACTATATGAAGATCTGACCAGTTGTAGTTGAAGGTCGTGTCGGGTGTCATACGAGCGACTTTTGACCTTACGGCGTCAGACATTGATTAATCAATCAGCGTTGACGTTTATAGTGGTTTACCCATATTTCCGTTCACCTCACGCCAAAAACGCACTGTAACAGACCGTTTCATTGGCTAATCCCTCGCATCAATCAGAATGCGGGTTATGTAACAACTCTTCCAGATCCTAGTGTAGTAAAGACAAGTAAAACGAAATTTTCAACTATAAGAAACAAAATAGGTTTCTGTGTTTTAATCCCTACACACAAACGAATTATTCAAATAAAATTGAACCATATGTTAGTCCCGAAATGACCTCCCCCTCTCTCTCTCTCTCTTTAATCACAGATTGGAAGGTTAATACATTACATATGATTTATTTCAGGACCAAAGTATTTATTAAAACTACAACAAGAAGTAACAGCTCTACATGTTGTTATAAGTATGGAGAGCCATATGAATATAGAAGGTGCCTCTAAAGTCAACACATTAAAACGATTACTATCGGAATTAAAAGACGATGATAACATCTCGTCGACAGGACATCGTTGTCGTGAGTTAGATTGTCTACGAGCCTATTATTATCTGGCAGTAGCTAATTATCTTCAAGATCAAAAGAACAAATCATCAGATGAAGCCAAAATTCAAGATTTGCCATCTTTGGAGACAGACATAAAGGTGGAACCAGACGTATGTGCTATAGCGGAAGTCGACTCTACTTCTGAACAACCAACGGATAAAGAAGTTGACGTGTTATCACAACCAGGTGATAAAACTCAAACTGCCTCTAGTCCAATAGACCAATCAAAATCACAAGACATATCTTCTGTAGCTCAAACAACGGTTGCGAGGTCTTCCAAATCCGAACCAAGTGCCCTAACCATGAATAAGATACTGGATATGTCGAAAGGCTTGTTGTGGGATATACAAGCTAAACGTTACGCCTTGACAGAAACATTAGGATATATTCACAAGGCCATTTCTCAATGTTTGTTAACGGACAAGACCAAAGAAAAAAGTTCTCAACCTCAGAACGTCTCTAGTCACAGACGGCCTGATATTCTATTGTGTTCAAAGGGGGATAAATCTAATGATAGAGATGTACAGAAGGATTTATCAGGAGAAGAGATTAGTGAGGAGAGTAAGGAGAAAGAAGTTACAGATTCAACTGATGAGTCCTTACACTATTCCGATGTAGAAATGATGCTAGCTAATGGTAAAGATTCGGCTAATAAATCTAGAAAGGTATTTATCTTTACTTTCACTTTCATTTCCTGTATGCTTTAAAGTCTAGAAATTAAGGTACTGAAATTTATCTTTACTTTCACTTCCTGTATGCTAATAAGTCTAGAAAGGTACTGAAATTTGTCTTTACTTTGCTTCCTGTATGCTTTGTAACCTGAAGGAGGGGAGGCCGAATGGTTAGCGTGTGCACGTTGGATCATAAGGTCTGTTATTGAGTGGTTTCAATTCCCCGGTTGTAAGTGACAAGGAGTAAGGTCGTCTGTCCAACCTCGTGTATTTTCTCCATGTCGTCCGGTTTCCTCCCACTGCTAAAGACCCCTACGCGCAAGCAAATTATTGGAATAGAATTAAACCATATGTTAGTCCTGAAATGACCTTGTCTGTCGAGTGGACATTAAACCCCATTTCTCTCTCTCTCCTCTTGCTGCTAAAGACTACACGTAATAGAACATTAAACCCTATTTAATTTCATATATTTTAGGTTTTATGGGAAGATCAACCACCTCTGTATGTTTGTGATAAACATGAGACAAGTACAAGAGGTACAAGTTGTCTATCAAATCCTACCAAGTATATTAACGTCCCAGATGAATGGTATAGTATGCCTGTAGATAAAAAATACTTCATGTCATACGTTACCATGCCTGTTCTACGTGAAGAACAAGATTTTGTCACACATGAACTGAAGAGAATACCGGACAGTTCTCATGTAAGTTTTTTCTCTAATACTTTCTGACGTGGTTTCCCCCTGTCAGTGGTGCAGGACGGAGGGCCTGACATGACAGCTGTCTAGTCTTTGGATGGGACGAAAAACTGAGGTCCTGTGTATGACTGTAAAAGATCCCTTAGCAGTTGGCTTTTGTTGTAAGAGTAGGCCATAGTGCCGCTGCCCGGGTAAAATTTCCCTCATAGCACACTGTATGGCGTATGCACGTCTTCATTAGCCCAGTTGGAACAGAACAGTAGGACGTTAAACCCCTTTTTTCTCTCATACAGAGTATGGAAAATCCATGTTCAAATTCGTTTTTTTATACTTTCGATGGCATACACTACATGAAAATCTGACAGGTTGTACTGGAAGTTCGCGCCGTAACAGACCGTTTCATTGTCTAATATCTCACATCACCCAGAACGTCGGTAATATAACAATTTTTCCAGATCCTAGTAAAGACAAGTAAAACAAAATTTTGAACTATAAGAAATGAAACGAAATAGGATCTGTGTTTTAATCATCGATAGAAACAATATCTATAACTCTAAATATATTTTTATTATAAGTAATCAGTGATACAAATCTTTCATTTTACTTTGAAACAGGTGCCTTTTCCCACCACTTTTGATACTGCCAAAATGTTGTTAAAATTGACGCAAATGTGTGAAGCTCAAGACATGAAGGAAGTGATTGAATATCGTGAAAAATTGGTAAAATGGGCGTTAAATTTCGCTGTTACGTCCAAACAACGGGAAGAGCTAAATACATTACTGGATACTGTTACAAAAGAAAGTGCTGTCTAAGTTGAACTCATCACATCATAAAATGATTACATCACAAAGTTACTTTTAAATCTGTACGCTATTTATAAGGGGGGACAACTGGATTAATCTACCGTAGTTGTTGATGTATATTTTCCAATTGCAATGACCAATTGCTGATTGCTTATATAACGTGTAATTATATATTTTGAAACATCTGATTACATATTTATAAGGGAGACAACTTGTTTGATCTATTTGTTTGAAATGACCAATTGCTAATATATAACGTGTAATAACATCTGATTACATGTGATATTTTGTCAGAAAGCAGTTCTGTACAAAACTACAATTTAAGGGCATTATGTATCTAAAATGTTTTTTTCTGAGGAGTCAAATTAAATACTAAAAATCAAATATTTATTATATGTTAAGTTTTTTGATGGTTAAAATTTGTTGGTTATAAATTTCAAGGGCAATATAGCTTACACAAATATTGTTAGAATTTGTTATAAATGATAATTATTTTAAACAGTGCTATCTTGTTGTTATGGAGATTTGATATTATTTTACATGCTGTTTCTTATGGTTATCAAACAAAATACTTAAAATATGTACATAATTTGATGAAATGCATAATTTAAAGAAGATAAATTATGAGTCAGTATATTTTTTAGAAGTTTGACCTGTAATGATGTACGTTTTAAACTGTAATTATCACAAGTGTTGCTGTGTAACGTTAAATTTGGAAAATATAAAGATTTTGTATTGAAATTGAAAATAACACCCATTTGTGAGGAAAATAAAAGTTATGTAGGTTGCTACAAAGATGGATATCTTTACTAGAAAGAACAGGATGTTTTGTTTTATATATTAATTATAAAACATGCAAATATCTCGATCTGTACTTGCATATTGTTTGTAATCATGTTGACCGTATATATATATATATATATATATATATATATATATATATATATATATATATATATATGTTTTAGTATATAGTTTGTCTACATATGACAGTTTCACAAACATGCCTGTAAAATTTTCTGTGGTTGATACTAACTTATCAAAATCAATTAAGTTTACTGACATCTTCTTGGAGTAGAAACCGAGAGAGAAGTAATGGGTTTGTATGAACGACATATTTACACATTAAATATCTACCTACAATACATCTGCTTAGTAAAACTGTTGTATTTTATAAATATTATTGAAATAGGTTGTTTGATAAATATAATGATGTACATACATATCAATTGTTGGTCATTGCTGAAGTAAGCTTCTAATCATTCAGTCATATTCTTGTCAATTACCCGGTAGATCTCCAAATTTTCAACATTTCTAGATTGCTTGGTTACATTACTCCGTTATGTTGCCTTTTAGAATGCCATAGTAATTAATTTACGTTTGTTTTGTTTGGAATACGCTTCAGATAAATAGTTTTATCCTTTTGAAGTTTTGGTTGGAAAAGTTTTATGTATCTGGTTATTAAAGGTCACTGAAAAGCTTCATAATTTTTTCAAATAATGCGAGTAATTATGTCAACATACCCTTTCCATAAGTATAACACGAACCTGAATGTCAATATTACCTGCAACAGGTAAATTTCAACGTTAGTAATTTCCGCCATTCTCCGTGAGTAGTCGTAACTTTTTGTCAATAAACAATCCGTGACGTCATTTTAGTATTTCTGCTCATAGAAATATAACTTTTCCGGTGACCTTTAAGAATTGGCTAACTCCATTTTAGTAGTAAAAGTCCACATAAAATTTCAAATATCTTTAAGGACAATATTGGTGCCAGTCATTATCACTTTGTGATAGAGCTGGTTAAACACATTCCAAATATAATTTTAACACAGAGATCATTGCTATGATAGCTGAGTAATACAGGTTTCCTGAATCGGAAGTGACGAACGCCAAAGGAAAACACAAGTCATACCTCTATATAACTGACTGATGTGACGAGTGATAACAGATACACAGCCGAATTTCTGCTCATTAATAATTCCTTCGAAGACCAAAAGTTGTTATATGGGACTGTAAGACGATACCTGACAATTCAATAAAGTAATTGAATGTCATTAGATAAGTGAACACGAGGAAAATCGAAATAGTCCGTACAGTCCCTTGTTTATATTCATTCTATACCTTATAAAAACATGGTAATGCACGGACTTTTTCTGTTTTTCTTTCGTGTTCATTTATCTAGTGACAGTCAATTCTTTTATGAATTGTCAGATATCCTCTCACAATCTCACACAACTGTTGGTCTTGCAAGGAATTATTAGTGAGCAGAAATTCGGCCGTGTATCTGTTATCACTCGTCACATCAGTCAGTTATATAAAGGTATGCCTCGTGTTTTTCTTTGGTGTTCGTCCGTTCCGATTCAGGAAACCTGTATTACTCAGCTATCGTAGCAATGATCTCTGTTTTAAAATTATATTTCGAACGTGTTTAATTAGTTCTATCACAAAGTGATCATGACTGGCACCAATATTGTCCTTTAATTCAACCACACACCTTTTAAATTTATATTGCTTTATATTTCGTGGATACAATATCAGCAGTTACTGAGGTGATATTATGCCCAGTTTGAAATGTAGTTGTATATTGTTGTTACACCTGTCCGGCCATCACTCCTGGGGTTACAGTTGAACTTTATGCTCAGTATATGTGTATGAGACAAGCAGCGTATTGATTTTTCAACACTAATAACTTTATCAATCTCAACAATCTTGTGGATGGCGCTAAGGTCTAACACTTTCCTCAAATTAATTTGAAATTTTTATACAGTGTTAATGAGACAAAGAAATATATTGATTTTCAATGATTTCCGATAATTTGATCAGCTAAAATTATCATTACCAACAAAAGATAAATATGCAGCAACCTTTATGGGCTGCACTGACGACTTAGCTGCTGTGGGTGTATGTTTCAATGCTGGACAATCTATCTTTAGCCTAGTAGCTACAATCAACAAGTATTAATGAAACTGATCTGATGATGGTGATTTTATACTAAGATGGTAGAATACATTTTTCATACTTTTGAAAATATTATTTTCAGTTAAATTCTTTAGGTTTGTTAAAAGATGATTTAATAATCGGTTATACGATTTTGATAATTCTTTTATTTTAGTTTTTCATTAAAAAAGTTTTTTCTTTTTTTGGAGCAAGTAGTCTTTAGAAAGCATGTTACGTTTACAATTTTTTTAATGCTTTTTTTTTTTATTATTTCTCTGTTTATTTCTTTGTTAGTGTTCTAAATGTGGGGAAGGGTAACCCATTAAATGAAAAATGTTTTCTTTTTTTTTTTAAGATTTTATTATTTATGTCTAAGTTTTGTATAAGTATGTTATATTGTTTTAGTGTAAGTGGTATGTTATTGTATATCAATGAAATTAATTCAATTGTTAAAATTATTGGCCTTGTTCATTTTGGGGCCTTGTTCCCAGAAAAATCATAATTGTATTTGAATGTTTACCGACGTCTGGACGGGTCAGAGCACAGATATTTCAAGCTGTCTTTTTGGGCCTGGTCTGGATGATTAGATTCTGATGGTAGATCGGGGCATGAAAAATAAAAAAAGTCCTACAAGTTCTTTTGGCAATTTTGGGACAAACCACTGGTAAGAGAATTGATGATGATTATGTTGTTGGGGAGGTTAAAATCTGAAATTATTTTCTATAAACTAGGAAAATAAATTACAGACTGATGAAAAAATAAAAGCCGTCTCCGGTTGAACAGTATGTGAGAACTGCCGTGGGGAGCTTAATAAATACAGCTCATAAATTAGCTTGTGTTGAAGTGTTGCCCACCCATTCAAATTTCTGATCAAATGTCTGCTGTTAGTTTTCTTTGTAAATTGTTCGTTGGAAATCACTACTGGATTTCATTTTGTAGATGTATATCAATTTTATACGCAGAACAGCCACCCTTCAAAATGTTAGTGGTGGATGTATATTTGTCGACTGTCAATAATGTTTTCAAATTTTAATTATTATTCTGTCTATCAAAGCCTTTGAACATGATTCTTGTTAAAAATTTCTCTGGGCATATCAGGGGACATTGACAAATCTCTGTTTAGATTTTCATCAGAAAAGAAACAGCTCACAAATTTCTTTCAAGTTTTATTTTGAGCCTTGAACATCGAAACAGTATATAATTAATGTATTTAATATTTGACACCCAACATTATATATTTTCTTGGAAATATCCAAGCAACTCATTGATATTAAATTCTCATGAAAATATTAAAAAAGGTTTTAAAGTATATCACATGTTTATTTATAATAAACATTTTATGAGATTTCTGTAGGAACAAGAATCCTGACTCAATGTTATTATTAAAAACATGACAAGTTTATGATTAAATATGACATACTATGATATAATTGACAACTTTTGTCAAATGTTTGATAAGTAATAATGGAATAAAGGAATTCTGTTGTATTTTTTTTTTTTTAGTCTTTGGTTAATTTGTGATATTTAATGCAGTTAGTCATTTTTATACGCCCACATTGACGCGTCTGTCCACAATTTTTTTGTGGACACTCTACATGTCATAATTTTTATCTGATTTCAGCGAAACTTGAAATATAGATTTATCTCCCTAAGATCTTGGTTCCTTTCGATATTGGCATGTATCAGAACATAACTTCCTGGATTGCTCTCATATGCAGTGTAAATATATGGTATATCAAGGTATATCTAAAGACCACAATTTTGATCTGATTTTGACGAAACTTGACATACATGTTTATATATAACCCTAAGATCTTGGTTCCTTTCAATATTCAAGCATATCGGATTATAACGTCCTGAATTATGGCCCTTGTTTGTACAAAAAAATTGTGTTTTTAGCTTGTGGTCCCCGTAGAGGTCACAATTATTATCTGATTTTAAAAAAAACTTTCGAATATATCACCGTTACACATCAATGAAGGTTGAGTTCAAATTTTGTAAAAATCTGACTCAAACTGCTTGAAAAAATGGCCGCTCCTTGTGTGCAAATAGTGTAAAAGTATGTAATTCCAAGGCTGTAGACACTCTAGAAGTCACAATTTTTATCTGATTTTGATGTGACTTGAAATTTCTGAATTTGATGAAACTTAAAAATATATATTTATGTCCCAAATATCTCGGTCCATTTCGATATTCGCGCATTTGAGACCATAACTTCCTGGATTATGGCCCCTGATTTTGCTAAAAGTCGCTTATTTTTTTTTTAGCTAGTTCTCTATCCATTTCTTGCAAAATGTATGGGTGTATCTTGCCTGGCAACCGCTGGTTGTCAATAAGCAGAACTTTATAGATTTTTGGTAATGTGAAATAATTGAAGGCGAGTAGAGGTACTGATTAGCTCATCGCACAGACTGGAATTGAACGTGCTCATTTGATTGATGTGAACATTGGCCGCTTGTGGTTCTACGGTTGCATCATGAAAGCCAAGGATGGGCAACTTGTTTTTTTTAGGTCTCACAAGCATCCAGAAATTGAAAACAATATCGAAAGGTAGTTGTTGGAACACTTGGGTGAGGAGGTCAGACGATACCTCCTGTTTATGCATGGCATAGCTGGGTGTGAAACAACATCCAGATTGTTTGGAATTGATGAAAGTACCCCTTTCAAACAAGATGCCAGAGGGATTCGAACTTCTGCAAGAACCAAGATATCTTTATCTGCAAATAATCCACAAATGACGAAATTAAAGATGCCTTCCCATGATATATTTGTACGTTTAAACTCCGCAAAGTGTGTGGGGGGGCTGGGATGGCCTAGTGGTGTAGAATGCCCCGCTATGACCTCTAGTTGGCCGGTTACCTCTGACTTGTGGCTGTGGTTTCGATCCCTGGTGTTAGCATATGTGACTTGGAAATAGGGGCCCTTTCTCAGCCTCGTGGGTTTACTCCGGTTTCCTCC